TTGCAAGCACTCACGAACGCGCACGCGCGAACACACACACACGCACACACACACACACACACACACACACACACACACACAGGGCCAGGAGCTGGGAACCAACCTCTCGCAAACATAAATCGGTGAGTCCTCACACAGTCGCACCTGATACAGTCACATCACTGCTATAAGTAGATTTCCTCAGGACACGATGTTAAAAAAGTTTTTTTTTGTTTATTCAGATATTACTTGTCTGTTTTGAATGCTTGTGTGTCATCCATAAGAGTGGCGGCTGCGGTGGCATCAGTGGTGGCACTGGCGGCGGCGGTATCGGCGGCGGCGGCATCGCATACCAAAATATCATCATTCTCATGTTCATAATGTGACATTAGTTAAAAATACTTTAGTTTGCATTTTTTTCATTCATTTAGAAACTATTAAGCCGATACATTTACTTGGAAAGTGAATCAAGGGATGTGAAGGTGTAATAGTTTATATAACCGACAACTTGAAGAATGAGGCACTTGTGCAATATCTTCGAATCTTTATTGAGGAAACGTTTCGTCACAGAGTGGTTTCATCGGTCCAATAGAGAAAAACTGTGTAAAAAGAGGAGGAGTTTGAGGTAATCAGTTCCTCAACCTGGAATCGATCAGTGGAAGCAGGAGGAGGCGGAGTCACAGTGGAACCATTCACTAGGGTAAGTAGGTTTTGTCCATAGGTTGGACAAGTGAAGATAGTATTACAAAGCGCAGCTCACTCACAGGACCTTACAAATAGTGTGTGAACACCGAGGACAACACTCCACGCACTAATATACCCAGTGCGCTAATGTGCGCCACAGGAAGTCAATATCTGCAGCACAATAATTATGTCAAGATAAACTGCACTTTAGACAGTGTTGGACTGTCAAGTGAGCTAAGTATGGTAACGGTTTTTAGCTAGTAAATTGATCTGTAGAAAAAATCATTGGAGAAAGTTGGGAATCTTCAGATGCTGATTAGATCTTCATAAAAGTTAAACTGAATCTTTATAAAGTTAGAGATCAGTGTTGTTGGTAGAGAAGATAATATGGGGTAAGTTACTAAACCACGTGAAAAACTGTGACTTTATTGTAAAAGTAATTATTTTATTATATTCATGTTAAGTGCTAAACCCATTCAGCACAGGAATTGGTGGAGAGTTGATGCGTCATCTGCTCATTATATTATAATTATGGAGGAGCGCTTAACCCGTAGGATTATACAGGGCATGTGGGGGAGGGGGGTAGAAGGTATTCAAGCTCAGTTCAGGGAACCGGAGTACAGATCCAATTCCCCAGATCAAGAGCCCCTCACCAGCGTCAAGGAATCTCCCTTGAGGGGCGTCATCTGCTGAGCGCAAGACAGACGCGTTTACTATTTTTAATCACTTAGTTGTCGCATGGGCTTAGAACGTGGAGAATCCTACGTAAGTTACTGCAATTCAATGACGAGATGACAGACCAACAACAAAGAGACAGATGGACAAACTGCTTTTTCCTGGACTGTCAAAAAGCATTTGACACAGCATCCTCACAGGAGATGGATATACAATTTAGATAACCACGATGGAGTAACCAGGAGGATAAGCATATGGATAAGAAAATACTAAAAAAACAGACGACATAATCAGTGAGAAGAGTGTTAGGATAGAAATAACAATGGAGTGCTACAATATACAGTACCTGGACCTCTAACGTTTCTCATAAACATTAATTATCATCCCGTTAAAACACTCATATATGTGTGACATGAATAAGCTCATGGATAGTAACTTAACAGTAAGATATTAAAGGAAAACCTGAGCTAACTACAGGGATTGTACAATTCGGGAGACATAAGCAACTTATACACTCAGTAAGAACATTATACTACACCATTCGCCTGAGACCCAGATAAACTTAACAGTGGTATATGTAAAACTGGTAAATATGGAAAAACCTTTAGGATTTTGAACTGGAAATCATCCCGTTCGCTGTACATAGTATATGTAACACGTTTATTAAAGAACGTGGCGCCACTGTGGCATCATCTCAAGAAAAAACCTTGACAGTGTTCAAAAGATTACTACATAGCTGGTCTCAGAGCAACAAGGCTGGGATATAAAGACATGATTCATTAAATGCAGAAAAAGATACACAAGGAAATTCATAAACCAAATTTTCAATACCTTTTCGTTTAATTCACCATCTGAGAATGCTGAGTGAAAGCCAGCAGAAGCTACCAAGAGTCGTTGTTAGTAAAATGGAAGAACTCCTTATCTGAACTTTTTTTCGTAAGCGATACCTTAAAACACTGTGTATGTGCATAATTTTCTTTTAGATTGTATTAATATTTTATGTGCGCAAATATTGTAAGGCATCATTTACCAAGGTTCAGACCTTGAGTTTACCCTTACTATCCACAATGATCTTGTAAATATAAATGAAAGTGATGTTAAATGACCTGAAAGATGTGGTAAGCTCTTCAAGACAATCTAACCTTTTTCTTTTTTAATTTATCGCTGATTATATTGGCAATAGAGGATCTGACTTATACATACCCATACTTAGATTAAAATGTTACCGCTTAATATATTTATAAAAAAAAATGGTATTTTTAACACCAGGATAAGCACTGTCAAAGCTATTAGTGGAGACTTTCCCTTGCATGAACACAGCATCTACAGTTGACTTGAACAGATTCTGTGTTTATGTTGCTTAATATGAGTAGTAAGGTTTTATACGAGATTTTATGACAACTGGTATCGATCTAAAGTGATATTTTTGTAGACTTCATTTTCCTATAAAAATCACATTGTATGAATCCTGTAATCATTACTTCTATGCTAACGTTGGTATTTTACTGTGGCTTAGCATCGTAAAGTGAAGGTGACACCACAAGTGAAAGTTGGGTATTTGCTATACTTTCTCGGTATTGATAAGTATATTGCGTTGCAGTGTCTGACAGTGTGAATATGATGGTATACCAGACAAGTTGTGTTAGTATTGTGTACCATTATATTCCTTGGTCTTCTTGGTGGGTTCCCGTTTTCTGTTCGCACAACAATACGCATTGGATCTATCCTTTTATCTATTCTTTTAAGAACATACGAAGGAAAAAGTACTGCAACACGCCTAATGGCCCATGTAGGCAGGTGCAAGTCACACCCACTCAAGAAGGAAGAAGCACTGCAGCAGGCCTACTGGCCCAAGTTGGACAGGTCTAACTCGGTTAAATTTGGATAAATTAACCTAACCTAAATAACGTGTGAAGAGATTACCTGAAGCCTATACAGTAAAAAAAAAATACCTACGTTAGCGCGAAGAGCGCAGGTTGGAATCCAAACTTAGAACATAAGCCGTAGTCAAGTTTGTGAGTTGTCTCGAGTAACTTGTGGGAGTTAACTAGTAAGATCAGTCCCATCCTTCATGCCAGTAACTGCTAGGAAAAAATATATAACATTTTCTCGCAACTAGAGAAGCAGACGAGCTGAAATTAATGTACATTAATTTGAAACAGAAGTTGTTTTCTATCATGTAATTTTTTCTGACTCCGCAATAAATGGTATATTGATATATTGAGGAATTTTGTACTGAGATTTTTAATGCATGGATATTTTATACCACTTTAGGGTAATATTGTCCAGGTGATGAGGCGTGTGGAATGCTCGTCACCTTGCACTGAGTGTCAGCTACACGGGGAAAGTGAATGATCACATGTTACACTGTCATTACATGTGACATGTATATACACATGCAATAAGATCACAGTAAACAGGTGATTTCACAACATGCAAAACAACCACTGAGAAAAGAATAGTGAAATTCCAGTCATTACAGGTCCTTGATAATGTGAGAAATCACGAAAGTTCTTGAAATTTCATAATTTTTTCACGGTGGTTATTTTGTATACACACACATGTTGAATGTTTGGGTATGAAGACAATGTGCAAAACAAACTACCATTAGGGTAACGCTTTGCGAAACGTTGACCCAATAAAAAAAAAGCTTGCTATGGTGAACACAGTAGCGAGATTACCCACTGATAGTGAAAAACACCAATGCAATGGATTTTTTTTTTTTTTTTGTACAGCTTTTCACTAAACATTTGACTGTATCGAGTACTTTAATAAGGCCAGTGTTTTGTGTAACGCTGTACAAATAAAGGACTCCACTGCAGCTGTGTGTCTCTCGCCAAACTCTTGTTGTCTTCACACCCGTCCCTGTTGGCATTATGCTTATACATCCATGTTGAATGTTGTTTAATGTTGTATATTACCCAGGAGAAGATTTTTTTACATAACTTACTGATATATCTTACAAACGTCACGAGCTATAACTTGCATGTTAGATATTATCCTTCTAGACAGAGGAAAGTGTAGATTGTTAACAGATCATTAAAAAGTAATACTATTAAAGTTGTTTGATTATATATTTTGTTTAAAGTTAAAGAACAGTTGTCCTTATTATAATAATAAGGACAGATGTACGCCTATCACTCACTAATGTCAGCCATAAGATGCTCTGGCGAGTTCAATGGCTCAAGTGGCAGGACAATGGCAGTACACAGTGAAATCTTATAATGCACACTTGAGAGACAGAGTTGTGGTGACACTGAGGAACTTTCTCCAGCTCGACGCTCGGTCAAGCAGGCTCGGAGATTCATCTTTCAGGTAGAGATTAAAAAGATGTGTGTTGCACAAATGTTGTACAGTGTGTCTACCAACCCAGGGTAGTAGGCACTATAAAATAGTACTAGGCTGATAGACCCAGTAAACAACAACGATCCGGGTTGGTAGACACTGCAAACATCGGTCCGGGATGGTAGACACTGTAAACAGCAACGATCCGGGTTGGTAGACACTGCAAACATCGGTTCGGGATGGCATACACTGTAAACAGCAACGATCCGGGTTGGTAGACACTGCAAACATCAGCTCGGATTAGTAAACACTAAACATCAGTATGGGTTAGTAGACACTGTAAACACCAGTGTGGGTTGTAAACACTGTAAACAACACCAGTGTGGGTTGGTACACACTGTAAACAACACCAGCGTGGGTTAGACACTGTAAACACCAGTGTGGGTTGGTAGACATTGTAAACACCACTGTGGGTTAGTAGACACTGTAAACACCAGTGTCGGTTGGTAGACATTGTAAACACCACTGTGGGTTAGTAGACACTGTAAACAACAGTGTGGGTTGGTAGACATAAAACCAGTGTGGGTTGGTAGACACTGTAAACACCAGTGTGGGTTGGTAGGCACTGTAAACACCAGTGTGGGTTGGTAGACACTGTAAACACCAGTGTGGGTTGGTAGACACTGTAAACACCAGTGCGGGTTGGTAGACACTGTAAACAACAGTGTGGGTTGGTAGACACTGTAAACAACAGTGTGGGTTGGTAGACATAACACCGGTGTGGGTTGGTAGACACTGTAAACAACACCAGTGTGGGATGGTAGACATAACACCAGTGTGGGTTGGTAGACACTGTAAACACCAGTGCGGGTTGGTAGACACTGTAAACACCAGTGTGGGTTGGTAGACACTGTAAACACCCAGTGTGGGTTGGTTTAGAAAAAACTGTAAAAAACCAGTGTGGGTTTTTTAGACCTGTAAACACACAGTGTGGGTTGGTAGACACTGAAACCCCAGTGTGGGTTGGTAGACACTGTAAACAACCAGTGTGGGTTGGTAGACACTGTAAAAAACCAGTGGGGTTGGTAGACACTTTTTAAACACCAGTGTGGGTTGGTAGACACTGTAAACACCAGTGTGGGTTGGTAGACACTGTAAACACCAGTGTGGGTTGGTAGACACTGTAAACACCAGTGTGGGTTGGTAGACACTGTAAACACCAGTGTGGGTTGGTAGACACTGTAAACACCAGTTTTGGGTTTGGGTTTAGAAAACTGTAAACACCAGTGCGGGTTGGTAGACACTGTAACCCCAGTGGGGGTTGGTAGACACTGTAAACCCCCAGTGCGGGTTGGTAGACACTGTAAACACCAGTGCGGGTTGGTAGACACTGTAAACACCAGTGCGGGTTGGTAGACACTGTAAACACCAGTGCGGGTTGGTAGACACTGTAAAAAAACCAGGGGCGGGTTGGGTTTAGACACTGTAAACACCAGTGCGGGTTGGTAGACACTGTAAACACCAGTGTGGGTTGGTAAACACTGTAAACACCAGTGCGGGTTGGTAGACACTGTAAACAATGATGCAACTCACTTTAACACACTTTGAAAGGTAAATTCTGGAGTCTGCTGGCATCTCAAAGTTTTCCTTCAAAAAAAGTCCCAAAAAGAGAAGTTTCTTGATGGTGAAGGGCTCTTGATCCAAGGAATTTGACTTAACCCCCCTGCCTTTGGATCAAACCCCCCTTTTTGCCCCCCTTTCCCTCAGCGCAATAATGCAATTCGTTTTTTTTATAGTAACAAGTAGAGTGAAAATTCCTGTTCCAATAACTGCGAAATTAAAAATTTTTCTTTTGTGTTAATGCTAAATAAATCCGGCAACTCAAAATGGGTGGATTTTTTTTAAAAATTAAAGTTTAAATTTTTTTAGGGGGGTTAAATTTCGGCTGCTGGATTTTAAAGGGATGTGTGCGGTGATACGGAATTGAACCGTCCGCCCTATTCAAGTTAAAAAAGGCAACATCGGGGATTCTTTATTGTGACGTTTCGCCCCTCCCGTGGGGTTTTTCAATACGATTCTAGGGAAAAAATAGGAAGACAGAGAACTTATACAAAAGATGAGGTAATCAGTCCCTCGGCCTTTGGAGTTATGTTCCAGCATCTGGTGGAAAGGGGAATTGGAGCAAAGGCAAGAAGACGGGGTTTTTATAGTGTCAGTGGAAAGGGACGGGCAGCGACGAGGGCAGTCACTGGTAGGGGGGGATTCCCAGTGGAAGTAGGGGCCTTCCCAAAGGTGGGTTAGTTGCCAGCCGTGAAAAAAGGTCTTTTAGATTCCTGAAACCAAGTTCATGATGTTGCGTGTCTGACAAGTTTTGCAGAAAGGTATAAAATACCGACAATTGAAAATTAAAACACATTCAACATCTGGATTCCAGATATCCAGTGTTGCAATGTGTTTAACTTTCAAATTGTCGGTTTTTTTTACCTTCTTGCACAGTTATTCGTCCTGTCCCTCCTCTCCTTTCCTTCGATGAAATTTTTTCTCTTATTCCCAGGCTTCATGAACCTAGGTTTTTAGCGCTCCCTTTAAACTTTAAAAATAAATGGCTGCTAAGAAATCATTTTCGGGGGGCTAAATTAATAAAAGATGAAAAATTTTAAAACATAAAAATCAGTGTAGAGGAGAAACAGAATATATTGAGTATCTAACTTACGGCATTTTGGCTTCTTTTACCAATTCTACAAAAGTCAATAGCAGCAGTATTATGTATTCAAAAAGCGCGCCTAAAGAGGTGATTTGTGACTGGCTAGTTCAAGACGGTATGTTTCCCTTGCTCACCATCATATCTGGTTTCTTATTGGCTGGTGCCTCCCAGGTGCAAGGAATAATATTCACTACAAAAGAGCTGTTTTTCTATTAGTCGGATGTAAACGTGTGTGTGTGTGTGCGGGAGGGGGGTAGGAGCGCTTTAGTGAACTCGTGTCCATGTCGTATACTTATCAGTGTATATAAACTGAGAATGTATATCTCTTGTGTATATTTATACTGAGAGTTTACTTTAATACATATTTTTGGATTTAATTATTGTTGGTGATAGTGTACTTGTGAATTCCGGCCTTAATGACCCGAGTACAGTGATAGTCTTTTCACACGCTGCCTCGTTCAGTGATCACCAGAAGGAACCTTGAAGGTCACTGCTCGTACCGCGAAGATGACTTCACACAGGTAAGTGTTGTCCACAATTATACGCTGTTGAGGATGTTATCGATGATACAAGAGTAGGAATACCGCTTCATCGTGTAGAAAAAAATGTTAGAAAAGTATTACATTGCCTATGTCAGCGACAGAACTGTCCATCAAGCCGTATGTTAACAATGTTACCAGGAACATGATGAATTGTCTAGGACAGGCCTAAAAGATTTTTTATTTTACTTATTTCCACTAAACATTGCTACAGTTATCTACAATTTTGAAGTGTTGAGTCTAGAATGAAGAACATAATCATCACTGTCATGTTCCTGCGTAATAAATCTGAATGTACTTATATACACGTGCAATTAAAAGCAGTTATGGCTTATGCATTTATAATACATAATCCGAGAGATTACATTTAGGGCTAAGATAGGAAGGTGCAGTGCAGAGTGTCACCGTGAACCGGGATTAAATGTTTCTTAAAATAGGTAGGGACACAATTAGAAAAGAATTGTGTATGTTTGCAATCGTGTCATTACGATTTCGTGAGTCATTATGTAGTGAATATTGGGACACGATCAGTGAAGAGTAAGTTTCATTCACGGATATTTCTTATATTTTCTGAAAGCTTAATACTCTCATAAAGTATATTTTTTAATGTACATTATGAAAATTATTTTCACTGAATTCATCATGTATACTGTGGAGACATACAGCGCTGTATAGCCCTTGTGGTTTAGCGCCTTATAATAATGTGGACACATATTAAGAGCACAAGCAAAAGCCTATTTATCCGATCTTATTCTCGTCACTAGCTGTTAGTTAATTCTTCAGGGATGAATCCCTACAAGGGCCAGTGTGTTTGGCTTTGGTAGGCCACGGCAACATCCATTCTTTTGTTGCCTGTGTGTCATTTTATTTAACATATTGTCGTTAATTCTATCAATATTAATAGCTTAAGTGTGCTGAGAGCATCCTCGCCAGTGTTTACTGGGTTGGTGGTGCCCCAACGACGTTAGTCTGTGTCTGGAAGGGAGGAAAGAGGAATCGGGCCCATTTTTGTGGACAATTTTCTCAGAAAAATAATCAGCCATTATGCAGCGTTCATGCTGAAAGCAATTTTCTGGAGTACAACTCTGATTAAACTGGTCTCACATATTTGTGGTTACAGGGTCTACTGAGTTTCTGGCCCTGCAGGCCCCTAAAGGGAGGTTCCTTGACGCTGGTGAGGGGTTCTTGATCTAGGGAATTGGATCTGTACTCCGGCTCCCTGAATTGAGCCTGAATACCTTCCATTCCCCTCCACATGCGCTATATAATCATACGGGTTTAGCGCTCTCCCATAATTATAATAATTTAATAATCCTGGCCCTGCATCCTCACTGGCTGCTGCTGAGTTCCTGGCCCTGCTTCCTCTCTGGCTGCTGCTGAGTTCCTGGCCCTACATCCTCTCTGGCTGCTGCTGAGTTCCTGGCCCTACATCCTCTCTGGCTGCTGCTGAGTTCCTGGCCCTACATCCTCTCTGGCTGCTGCTGAGTTCCTGGCCCTACATCCTCTCTGGCTGCTGCTGAGTTCCTGGCCCT